CAAAAAAAAAAAAAAAACCCTGCAGCTACTTCAACATTTTAAAGTTGGAAAATCCCTCGTCCTCCCGGCATGAGGGCGGGCTGGCCCATTACAGCAGAGAAGACTGTAGCGGCGTGTGGAGCCCCGCCCCCAGCAAGCCCTGCACCAAGCTGCATGCCACTGGGGCGGTCTCTAGCTGTACCTCAAGATGCCCAGGGCCACTGGGCAATGTGTGGCTGGCTGGACACAGCCCTGTGAGTGCTTGGGTGTCAGGGGAGCCTCCAGAGGACAAGCCTGTCTCCAAGACCTTCACCCCACAGCTTCTGATGGGTGTGCCTCTAAACTGCCATGTGGGATGGGAGCTGGGGTGCCCTGGGAGAGACACAGTTCTTTGGGCCCAGATCTCTAAGGTTAGAGACCCACCTGGAGATGTCGAACAAAGCCATAAACATGTAAAGTAGGAAAAGAGAGGTTTTTAGTAGAAAAGTGAAGTTTTTAAAAAGGATTTCTGCCGCAGTGTGCGCACTCTCTGGAGTGACAGAAAGACAGAAACTGAGAGATCACCCCAGAGGGGATGGCTGCAGTCCTGTCTCCTCCCAGGATCCTGGGCATGCACACACACGTGTCTGACATGGATTTGAAGCCACCAAGTCTGGGCCTCAAACAGTGGTCGGCCACTTGAGAGCCCAGTGACATAAACGCTACGCCATCTGCTGGTCCTAAAAAGTGATTTTTAACAGAAAAAGTACGGCCACACCAGGAAGGCATGTGGACTGTCGGCATGGGCATGGTGCTGGGTGCTTTGACTGGGGGTCTAGTCGCGGGGTTTTGGGGGAGGGCTGCCATCTTAGCTCTTTATCCGATTTCACATGCCATGTGGACGCTGGAGGCAGGAGACCTGGGCAGGGACAGTTCTGCCGTCACCGTGCCGCCCAGGCGGGGAGTGGGGTATCCACTAAGCCCCGGGGTTCGGGCGCATGTGCGGGACCGCAGGACGGGGTGTGTCACGGTGAACTGGCAACTCCTTGCAGAAAGCTTAGGTAATGAAATAAAGGGTGAGACCAGCACCCCTTCCCCCGCGCCAGGAGCCGGAGCGGGCATGAGTCCCAGAACCCGTGTGGTCAGCTCTCAGTGAGCCGTGGGGGGGACGGGTGTCCTGCCCCGTTCCCCGGATGCCTGTTCTTGCCTGGCTGTCACCCGCGGCTGACCACGCGTCAGTCCCACTGCAGGGTGAGCTAGTCTCTCCCGGCTTCTCAGAGGGCGGGC